CTCAAGCCACTCATTGCCCAGCCTGTATTTGATCTTTGCATCTTACAAACCCACAAAATTATATTAATTTGATTTCCCTATCCTGTTCTTTTGCAAGCAGCATTTTGAATAGCCTCTCCATCTTCCTAGACCTCTAGGCCCTATCTATAATAGGGAAGGGGTGCCTGTTAGCTGGTTTAGCTAACATGACCTGAAATACTATACCTACCTAGGTGGCTTTGATTACAAAGCAGGTGTAATCTTTAGGGCTTAAAAACTGCTGCAAATTACTCCATGTAACTTGCCCTTTAGTAACTGGTGTACATACTTCCATCCTCCAATAAATCTGAAATACTTTAAACCTCACTGAGGGAGAAGGAAATCTCTCAATTTGCCAGGTGCACACCACAGTTACTGTCTGAGTGGAAAGTGCCCCTCCCTGATATCCCCTGTGTATGCCTCACAGGTTACCTATGCAGTATTATTCATGACACAAAGATTTAAAGATTCAAGTTTGCCATTCTCTTGCCTGTTTCTTTATATGAATCCTAAAAATTAGATAAAGAATACAGCTTCTTCAGCTGTTCCAAAAGGATGCACCATTACATGCTTCATTACTAAAAGTAGTTCATAATGTGTTTACTTTTCAAATATTCTTTGAAAAACTATTTCAATTGTACTTTCTAAATACATACTTTCAGTCTATAAACATGGATTAACAAACTTCACTTCTTAAGAAAATATTTAGCATATAATATTTCATATGCAGACAAGTTTTCATGTGCATATAAACATACATGGATACACACACACATATATATACATGTATCTGTATATATACAGATAGATATGCATGTGGTAATAGTTAAAGCACTACATTCTCACATGCACGCAGTAATTATTCCAGTTTTGTTGATTTCTAAGACTTAATGGATATCTTAATATACCATCAAGAATGCATCTGCAAGACTATATTGCACAATCAGCCCAGAGTCAGATAAAAGCAAGGAATTCCAGGCCAATTGCAATATACTAAAACGTATGTAGTATATGCTCATTAGTATACACACGCTAGTGATAGCAAACAAGACAGCAAAAGCCTTAATCCTAAATTTCCTTGCTCTCTAGGTCATGTGAGACATTAGGGGCAATGGGTGCAAGCTGGAACACAGGAGGTTCCACTTAAACTTCAGAAGAAACTTCTTTACAGTGAGGGTGATGGAGCACTGGCACAGGCTGCCCAGGGAGGTTGTGGAGTCTCCTTCTCTGGAGATATTCAAGACCCGCCTGGACACCTTCCTGTGTGATCTCACCTAGGTGTTCCTGCTCCGGCAGGGGGATTGGACTAGATGATCTTTCGAGGTCCCTTCCAATCCCTAACATTCTGTGATTCTGTGAAATAGCATTTGCATTTTAAAATTGGAACTACTTTTGAAAAAAAGATGCACTTTGTTTGGTTTTGCTTTTGCTTTGTTGGGTTAAGTCAAATTTCAGTATAGAAAATGCAGGTTCTGACTATGATTGTTACTGAAATGGGTTGTAAGCACCTGTGGGCACCTCCTGACTCATGGTGGGGAAGAAAAAAAAAAGAAATCCCCATTTCATAGAAGATATTTAATCTCAGTTTTGGGTACAAAAGGAAGACTGGAAAACAGACTATCCTAAATAGGCCTAAAGCTATGATGAATCTTTAAATGTTGTTGCTGCCTTAAGTGAACTAGGTTTCTTCTGTAGCAACAAATAGCTTCATTACCTCTGTGTAAATACAGAGACACATACATCTGGCACTGATACTGGAGTTAAATTTCAATACTACTACAGGAGCAACACAGAAATCTGAACTTGCATTTCAGTGGAAGGGTTAAAGGATAAATATTTATAAATAACCAGAAGAAGAAGAATTCAGGGAAAGCTAACAGCAATTAACACCATTATGAAATTTTATTTTTGCTTCCATAAATAGCAGGTAACAACTCTTTATGGAAACATAAATATGCAACAATCTTAACTCATCCCTCCATGTAACTATAACAGAAAAAGCACCATACTCTATTAAAGATTTACATCAGATTCTTACTCATTCTTCATACTGAATAATCATCTGAAGCCATTGCACTTACAACTGTATACTAGGTTTCAAACAGAAGAGATCCTGAATAATGCAATGAAATAAACAGAATGTGTTGGGTTCGATGCTCTTTCGTCATTAGTGCCAGACATACAAGATGGCTGAAAAAATGCTACGCTGTAACTTACTAGTGTACTGCCAGTGGCACAGTAGCTCACCCAGCAGCAATGCTCTTACAGTAAGTAATTAATTATTGATTTTATTTTTTAATTCAGCATTTTTGCAGTCTCATTATGGGTATTTTTAAGAGGACTCATTTAATCTATTAACAGAAACACAAATATGAAAATACTGCATATCAAATGAGAACCCAAGGCCAGTCAAAACCACACAATATCAAAGTTTAAGTTTCCTGAATGGTCTCTACCAGTACTAAGTTCTTACATAGACTAAGGCACATTGCTAGTTGTTTCAATACACCGGAAGAAAACAACACTGCTTTACGTACTGTACTATCCAAATTCGTGGTAACCAACACATTCCTTTCAATAAGAAAAAAAAAGTAACTTTTGTATAAGAGCAACATTACTCTTAGGACCGTTACACACCTCCGTCTCTCCCTGACCTCTGACGTTGAGGACACAGTGCCTGAAGTAGCTGTAGTCATGGCTGTGGTAGTGGCTGTAGCATTTACAACAGATGGTGCAACAGGAACGGTCACTGCTGTAGGAACACTGTCCTTTTCTTTCTCAGTACTATCCTCAGCCCACAAACGATTTGAGGTACTACAGCATAACAAGCAGCAACACAAAAAAAGAGAAAAGGAAACAGCTAAACAATGAAAGCACTTTACTAAACAACTAATAACATGTACATTGAGGGACGGATTTTTTTTAAAAGCAAACTGAGAAATGTCTCTACTATGAAAGCTCAACTTGAGCTATTAAATTGAATAAATTAAGAACTGAACAAACAGTTCACAATAATTGAACTTGTCACCCTTCTATATTCTTTTATACCCACATGGCTGTCACTTTACAGTAGAAAGCCATTCACAGTTTTCAAGCCAAATTGTATGAAATTAAAACAAATTTAACAGGAAAGTGAAAAAATCCAGAACCCCAGGATCTACTAAACAAGAACGCATGCACATACATAAGCACACAGTAGACCTGACAAAAAAAAAAAAAAAAGAAAAAGAAAAAAAGGAAAAGAAGAAGTGTGCTGGTGCCATTACCTGCTTTGTACACCTGCTGAAGTAGAACCCGTTGTACTCTTTGTAGTAGTGTTTCCACTGGCAGGCAGTGTTTTCTGAAGACCAGCAGAAGAGGTAACTGTTGACGCAGTACTTGGAACATTAGAACTAATCAAATCATCTTGTCTTCTACCAAAGGAGCCACTGAAGGAGAGATGTACAATGAATGCATTTATTACTTATCTTTGCTCATTAAAATATCACAAAGCTGTGAATGATCCATTAAAGTCCTGCCCACGTAGTTCATGTCTCAGTTGAGTCTTGGAAACTTCTGGGGCAAAAGAAGCATTTTCAAAAGCCATTTTCTTCACGATTTTCTCAACTAGAATTTTTAATTTATAACTCCAGAAGGTAGCAGAAGTGTCCCTTAGTCCTGATCATGTCTCCACAAGAAGAGGAGATAAAGAATGGAATCTCACTGGTTTATGTGTGATTGTCTTGATCGCATCTACTTAAGTATTCATCAAGGGCGCCTAATGTCCCATTTTTAAACTGCTCTTTCATCCAGACTAAACACCTCAGAAAATGCAGAATTTTACTCCACAGTTTGTCAGAGAAGAAAATGTCATCAATATCACACCTCTTACAATTTTCAACTAATTAAACATACTGCTTATTTTTTTTTTAAACTCTCATCATTCCCAGAAAGATTAATCTCCCAGTCATGCTTTTCCCTTGCTCTTCAAATTGCAAAGAAGATCCAGTGGTTTCCAGATTTTTATTCACTCACTCGGTCTGAACAAATCTGCATTACCAAGTCAGGATGTCTGCCCACGACTAAATCTCAGAATCCACAGATAGGCCACACAGAGCATCATATTATTAACTGCAAAAGATTTAAGGAAAGATGTTTCTTTTTCATTCTGCAATTGATCATTTTTTCTATTACTAACAATTTTGAAATGATAAAGAAAAAATAATGGTACAAGAACAACTAAGGAAATATGCCATTAAAGCACCTCATGCTATTTAAAAGCAATGAGCACATTTTGTTTGAAGACTGGAGCATAAATATTGATAAAAGCTAACATACAAAGACTGTTCACATGTTATCAATTGTTGATATTTTCCATCCAGAACAGGAAATCTGTGCAACATCTTTCCTAAACCTAAAGTCAGGAAAATTTAGTTTTCTTTTTAAGGCAGGAGGTTAACAAAGATGTAAGATGTATTATGCGGTATGAAACAACCTGACCACATGCCAATGCCAACATCAATGCCAAGACAAAACAAGTTAAGTACCCATTCACCACGTACACCATCAGCACATATCAATATGCAACTTACCGACCTGAATTACACTCTTTTCTTTTGATCTATTCCTTTAAGATATTACTAAATTACTTATTTATTACTCCACTAATTCCAGTTAAGAACTTTACTCAAATAGCTACACTGAAACAACACAATGGAGTAAAGTTAATCATGTATGTATTTGCAGGATATGATTCCTTCTGAGAAAATCCTTCAAGATAGGAACCACACAAACCTGAAAATTATTTCCATATTAATCATAATTTCCTTTGCACTCGAGTTAGTTTTACGTAAGCATTCTATGATGCTCACACTCAAGGCAGATGTGGCTATAATCTACCATCATGGAGAGCAGCCCAAGAGCTCTGATACTGTCATGCAAAACAAAAGTTCAGCAGAGACAACCTTTTTCCCCTTTTCAGGTATCAAGCAGAATTAGTTCTATTTTAATATCTAAAATAGTTATCTTGGGCTACTGAACTAATCTGGAAAGAGTCAAACAACCTCAAACTGAAACAAGTAACAGGAAAAAGGAAGCATGTAATTTTAATTACATAGCAATTGCTGCAACACTCTAAGCTAGTAAAAATGGTGTAGCCTCAGAATAAGGACATACTTCACAACTACTTTGAACAACTTTTTAACATGTCACCATTCAATTATAAGCTGTCCTTACAAAGTGATTCAGTACTTAATTTGTTTCTTTTAATTTGTAAACTTATTTTGATAAAGAAAAGACAAGAGAAAATCCCACACCTTCTTTGATAACTAGTGTTTAATGATGTAGGACCTTCATTCAAACTGTTTTTCTTGACATCTTCCTCCCATTTTCTCCGTGTGTAGGAACTGCCACCACGTATTGAGCTAGCAGAAGAGTCCCTGCAAAAAAGACTATTTTATCAAACTCATATTAAAGAAAGTTATTCTTGATGCAAGCTGAAAAGGAATTTAAAAGTAAAGCTTAAAACCCTGGATAACACACTTAAGCATAACCACGCAGAACAGAAATAAAATGACCTTTATGGACAACCATGTTCAACCTCCTGTGCAGAAATACTACGTTCATACTAACACTGTTAGAAATGTCACAGAAAAGTAGCATCAAAAGAAAAACTGCTGAAAAGGATTTAATCGACATAAAATCAACCATCCACTTTTATCTGTGACCACTGCTGGCTTTGTTTTTCTCAAAAAAGGTTAACAAGAGGCTTTTCTGTTTGCTTCTGAGATTATCCAGTGAAGTAAAGGGAAAAATACTCGGGTTTTTTTAGAAATTGATTTCATGTTTTTTTTCATTCTTGGATGTTATAAGAAGAAGTTCAAAAGCTGACTAACCATTAGAACTCATGATACTGTAGACTAGTGTAAACAGGCCTGAAGTAGCCATTCCTGAGTGGCCTGCCACGTATCACTAGCTGACATTACTTTAGTCATAAGGAATCCCCAGCCTGTTACTGCAGTTTATAGCAGCAAGAAATAAACTTGTAAAAATCTACTTTAAAAAACTACCCTGAAAACTGATATTGATATGCAAAAAATTGAACTTCTAATAAAAATGTCAGCTCAGGATTTGAAGTAAAATTCAGATAGAAGGAAGAAAAAAATCTCTTTCACAAAACTATACATAAAAGGCAACCAGGCGTTCAAGGGAAAGTAAAATTTTGTAAAGATGTATTTTAAGTTCATATACTTTTGGCCTTCAGAATGCCGCTCTTTTTGCACAGTATTATCTGCTAGCACTTCTGTGGTCAGAAACAACTTTAGGAAAGGATCAAACACAAGCCAATGCAATGATCTCTTATCACCAAAGAGAAACACAAATTCTCAGGTATCATAGACCACAGAAAGGTCCTGCTGCGTGACAACTTTTTTACAATTACTGAATTAACTTTGCCAGTACTTTTCTGTAGCACTGGCTACTTGATTGAGGCTGGATGTTGGAGATTTGTTAATCTAAAAGCCCAGCTGGGATTCATCTTGAAGTTCTTTCCATTACTCACCATAGGATGTTAGCTGGATTACACTGTATCATCAATAAAATTAGACAACCAGGTGTTCAGATAGAACAAGAACCCAGCATTAAGCTAAGCAACAAGGACAGAGATCTGGGACAAAGGCAGAAAACTTAATAATTTATTAAGGTATCTTTAGGGCAGATGGTTAAATTCTACATGTAGAGAAGGTCAGACTAAATGTCAAAAATCTCTTATGGCTTTAAGTAACCTGAGTTGTCTGCCACATCATACACTAGGAAAAGTACTGATGCCCAAACAGACTGGCTTAAAAACAGGCTTCATCTCTGGTACACCAAGGAATACAGAAAGTTCTCAGCTCAATTGTTTGGTCAGCACTGGGACTAATGAGACTGATGATCCCAGTTCACTCAATGCATGGGAGTTAAATATGCTACTGACAATGCCCACTTTTGGAACTGTGTTTGTGAATAAACCACAATGGTTAAGACTGGCACGTCAAGGACATAAATAAACTTCAACACTGAAGTAAAATTTAATCCCTTTGTTAGAAGCAATAACAGCTTCTAAGAAATAAAATTGCAATTAAATATTTATCCCAATAAGAGATCCCAATAGAAAATCAAAAACCATGAGGAACTGGATTACTCTACAGATCAGCATAATCTATAGAGCAGGATAATGCTATAAATTAGCATTGCCTTAAGATCTGCAAGTTTGTCAGTCACTCTAAAATTAAGTAATTTTCTATTTAACAGAAATTGTAACTTCAGAGTCACCTGTTTTCTTTTTCATCAATGTCAGAGGTACTGGCCAGTCGTCTTGGTATTGTAGGTGCAACATATGCAAGTCGAGTTCCTTTTCCATCTTTCTCCTGAAAGACATGTATTTTTTATTAAGTGTTACTACTATTGATTATAATGCTATTGGCTGGAAAAACCATCATTATGACAACTTCAGCTGTATTTATCATGACCTGATTATACAAATGAGTTTTAAGCTTTAGTTAAATATCATAAGGACTACAATAGGAAAAGGAAACTGTTTATATTTTTATTCTAATGATGCAAGTGACTTGATTTATCTTTTTTCTGCTTTGCTGCAGTACAATCCCAACACTGATTAATGAAAGCAACTGTCTTAGTATTTTTACATAACATGGTACAGTATTATTCTTAATCCTGAAAACACTTAAACATTTGTACTCGAAACAGAACCACAAGTTCTATGCTGTTCACTTACTTGTTCTAAAGTAGTCCTTTACCTGGTTCAGTGTATTCATTATTCATGTTTAATTATAGAACTAAGTTTTTGTAAATAAAAAATTACTATGGAATACAAAAAGAAACTCCTTTTTATAAGATTCTTCCAACATCACTCTCCAAGTGCTGCTGAAACAACCAAATCTCTGATCTCCCTTAACTATAAAAACTACTACTAGCATTGCAAGTCCCAAAAAGGGAAAAGCCCCAGACCTAAGCACCAGGTCACCAGACAATGAAGGTGCACACTTCTAAAGAGACTATGCAGAAGCAGCATAACTTAATTTTTCAGAATTTTGATAAAGAATAGATGTGTAGTACAGTCTTACTTCTACAATACATCATAAACCCCTATACTAAAGTAAGGTAGATCAGTTCCTCAAAATGTTGTTTCACACTGAATATGATTACCTTTTCTTTGTTGTCCAATGAAGAGGAAAGTCTAGGACTTGAAGCAGAACGCATAACACCCGCAGAGTCTTTTTCCTTCTGAGCTTCTTTGGAAGCAGTAATCTCTGCAAGTGCACCATAACTACCAGTTTTTCTAAGACCTAACCTCCATGAAGCAGGAGATTCATCTTTCCTCTCTTCTTCTTTGGGAGAAACCTTGGTTGTAGATGCTGGAAACTACAAAACAGATGTAAATGAATTTACATTATTAATTTACATTACCTGTGGCAATTCATGCTCCTTGAGGAGATCTGAGAACACAACTTTTTAATAATCATAGAAGCACTGAAATTGTAGGGA